CCAAAAGAAGACGATCTGACCTAACTTTTATTAACAAAAAATGTCTGGCTTCTCTGCTATTGATGGTCAAAGTTCTTCAAAAAATTTATCTTTTTTGAAATGTCGGGAGAACGGTACGATGTATTTTGGTGAAACTAGCTGTGAATGTGTTCTTATGTAAGACTTATATTTTGATGAAACAATCGAGATCAGCCGTTTTAGACATGTGGTGAATTCTTGAGTGTTGTGGTACAAAAACTATCAGAACTTTTTAGTTGGTGGATGAAATAAACTCATTTTTTTCAGTTGATGCACTAATCATTTATCAGTAAAATCTTGTAGCATTCATAGTTTTTGCGTAAAAAAATATCTGTTTTGTAGTCACTTAACAATGCTAGACATTAACTGCAAATAAGCGCCGCGTAAACGCGTACGCTTTCACGCAAGTTGTCTTGGCAAAACCCTAATACTTTGACCATGTCGGTCACTTTTTCATTAAAAAAGGTTATTGAAAACGTGAGATTTATTGACAATGATTTTATGCCTGGTATCACGATATTTGCAGTTAATATCTAACATCGGCAAGTGGCAAGAAAACAGAACTATTTTTTTTCGCAAAAACTTCGTAAAATGCTTCAAGATTTTATAAAGAGCACAAAATTGTGCCCAAATAATTAGTGCATCAACCAAAAAAAAAATGATTTCATCCACCAAATAAAAAGTTCTGGTAGTTTTTGTACTACGACCCTCAAGAAATCTCCACTTGTCCAAAACGGATGAACTCGATTGTTTCTTGAAAATATGAGTCTTACATAAGACCAACTTCACAGCAAGTTTTACTAAAATACATCGTACCATTTTCCCGATATTTCGAAAAAGATATTTTTTTGAACAACTTTGACCATCAATAGCAGAGGAGTCAGACAGTTTTTGTTAATAAAAGTTAGGTCAGATCATCTTCTTTTGATGCAAATAATATCGCAGTATTCTTTTGCTCATGTGCTTACGGGACACCCTGTATTTACAGAAATAGTTCATTATGTTTTAAGATGATCAATCGTAATCCTTAATTTGGCAGATATGTTTTGATAACTTACTACTGCATCTCCACAGCGTTGGGAAGATCTCGTAATCGATCAAACTGCTGGCAGCTACGATTAGGATCGCTGCTAATGTTGCTTTTGGGATATAGAAGAAGTATGGGGCAAGAATGCTCAATGCGAGAATAATAACAGCTCCTAAATCAACAAAGTGTAAATTAGAAAGGCGTGATAGGAGTAAAGCACCAAGTGTAATTTGGAAGTTGAAAAAACTCGAAAAATTAAAAAAACTAATTGAAATAAATTTGATCATCAAATGAGCATTTCAATTTGTGCTTGAACGATAATTTTTTGGCGGAATCAACATCGATCGCGTTTTGTGGTACGAGTTATACATTTGAAATCTTCCAAGGCAAATCTGCTTGTAACTCTGTTATTTCCAAGAATTGTCTGCTTGTTTTATTTTCATTTGAAAAATAATTTACTGCGTTTTTTGAGTAATTTCTGGAAATTTTGCATGCAGGTGAAAGATAATTATGTTTCTCAGTTCAACAACTGTTTCAATCAACATTGAAAAATAAAAATAGGATCAAGCTAATCGGGTTCTGAGCTGGAGTGTCCTAGATTTATATCTACATTTCTGTTCCATCAGTCATTTTTTAAGGTAAATTTTAAATCCGTTACTTTATTTTGGTTATATTCAATTGGAGTTTGACAGATACGTTCCTGATGTTTGAAGCCTATTTTAAGATTTAAATCGATAAAGCTGGCTTTTAGTACTGAAATTAACTCGCCTTTAGCTCCTACAACGTAAGAAATTTATGGCGCCTTGAACAAAATGTCTGAAGATTGAAAATTGGTGAAAAGTTCGTTCTTTGTGCTTGGATTGGATTGTACATTATAACATTTTGTATCTGAATTTTTGACTTACTTCTGCTAAATATTTTGCTTTAAATATAAAAAATATTCTAAAGCATTTTTTTTGCTCTACTGGTTAACCGGAGCCGATTATTAGGTACACGCAATGGCAAGAACATTCAATATTAAAAAGCGTATATACATCTGTAGTGCTTTATTAGGATTTTCATAAATTTTATGAATAGGAATCTGTTGAATTCTTGAATCCTTGTCGATTTTCCTCGATTTGTTTTATTTCATTACTTTACATACATTTTTTGCTTTCGTTATTGCTATTTGTTATACATCATCTATTTAGTTTAGATTATGCTGCAATATTTGTTCAATTTTGTTTATTCGCTTCGATATTTTTCTTTGCGGATTGCAGAATTCAACTCATTCTTTTTTGGTCATATAGATTGTGTTCTAACAGTTTAACTTATTCCTTTAGCAAACACTAATTTTTGTCTGTAATTTTGTGTGCTGATTTCTACAGAAATTAGTTTTAACACCCTATAATTCACTATCAAGCGATTTTTTAGGAGTGTTTCCTGACGCTAGAGTTCTTCGCTTTAACTACACCTCATATATGTTACTCCCGACTTTCCAAGTACAGTACGTTTTTCTTAGCACTGAGTGTATCGGCTTTTTGTGCATTTATTTGTCTAATGCAATATGCTATTCATTTTACCAGTTCAAATTTTAAGTCCTTTCTCGAGCGCATAAAGTAAACACGAATTAAAAAAGTCCACGTATGACTAGAAGAATATGAATTGTCTATATACCTGAATATAATCCTTGCAATGGACTCCGGACTCCGCTGCTGCTTGCTACTGAAGATCGTGTAAACGCTCCACAGCTGGGCATAGCTTTAACAAAAGATCCCAAAATATTCGCCAACCCTAAAGATATCATCTCCTGGGAAGCATCCACCACTGCTTCCGAACCTGCATGAGACGTTCTTAATATATATTTCCTTCAAATTACTTTGAACCGTAAAAAATTAAATTTCTTACTGTAAGCCTTAGCTATAGCTACGTTAGCTAACACCGCAACCAGTGGGACTACAATAATTCCCGATCCTAGAGAAGAAACCATGTCCGTGAAACCCGAAGTGCTGTTGTTAAACTCTGCATGAGTAGCAGGAAGACCTATATCTGGTAGACCTCTTGGTACGATTCCTGTGCAAGGGAAATTAACATTATTAGTTTAAAAAGGGAATTATTAAGAATGAAAGTACACTATACAGATTAACTGTTCTAAAGTAGAAGATGCCTCGAAACACCTTAAAAAAAGTAAGTTGTTTTAATTTTTGCTAACTGATTCTTTTTTTAGGTCGTAACAGTCCTCTAAAATGTGCTTCTCAGATTAGCTAAAATTGTTTTCTTCCGAGAATACTCTTAATTTAGTTGCTTTGATAGTGAACTCGGATAAGAGTGAATATGTTAGACAGAAAACTTCCGTAAGACGACTTTTTGCTTTTACTGTTCAAGTTCTCGCAAAGTTAATTTGGACGGCGCCTTTTTAAAATTTCTCATTAAATGCAATGTTTTCCAAGAAAATTAAAAAGCGTCACCGAATGATTAACATATCAAGGAAAACGTCTATCATTTAATTTAAAAAAAGGGAAACAAAATGCGTAAGTTGCATTGACTCATGGACACCCTGTATATTAATAATAATATAATAACTAAAACTCGCTGTGAATTTGTTCTTATGTAAGACTCATATTTTGATGAAACAATCGAGTTCAGCCGTTTTGGATAAGTGGTGAATTCTTGAGTGTCGCGGTACAAAAACTACCAGAATTTTTTAGTTGGAGGATGAAATCGACTCATTTTTTTTAGGTTGATGCACTAATTATTTATTTACAATTTTGAGCTCTTTGTAAAATCTTGTAGCACTCATAGTTTTTGCGAAAAAAAAAATTCTGTTTCCTTGCCACTTAACAACGTTAGACAACGTTAACAGCAAATATCGTGATACGAGGCATAAAATCATTGTCAATCAATCTCACAAATTCGTTTTAAATGACCTTTTCTACTGAAGAAGTGACCAACATGGTCAAAGTATTAGAGTTTTGGGAAGACAATTTGCGTGAAAGCGTACGCGTTTACGAGGCGCATAATTGCAGTAAATCTGTAGCATTGCTAAATGACTAGAAAACAGACATTATTTTTTTACGCAAAAACTATGAATGCTACAAGATTTTACAAAGAGCACAAAATTGTGAACAAATGGTTAGTGCATCAACCTAAAAAAATGAGTTGATTTCATCCTCCAACTTAAGAGTTCTGGTAGTTTTTGTACCACGACATTCAAGAATTTACCTCTCGTCCAAAACGACTGAACTCGATGTTTTTATCAAACTATRAATATACACTTACATAAGAACAAATTCACAGCGAGTTTCACTAAAATACATCGTACCATTCTCCCGATATTTCCAAAAATATAATTTTTTTGAAGAACTTTGACCATCAATAGCAGAGGAGCCAGACATTTTTTTGTTAATAAAGTTAGGTCAGATCGTCTTCTTTTGGTCCAAATAATATCGCAGTACCCTTTTAATCATGATCTTACGGGACACTCTGTATATTTTGAGTTTGAAGCTTTATTCGTTGCGAAATAAGTTTTTTATATTAAGATACATAAAAATAAAAATTCAATTTACTTTCAGCGTTGTAAAGAACACTAAATGTGCCTCAAAACATTTAGTTTGGTAATCAATTAATTCACATTTTATTAAAAAATTGTTGAATTTCAGGTGTTTAACAAATTATCTTTGCAATAAAAGATCTGGAAACTGCTTTGGAGCATACCCTGATATTCAGAAGTATTTTTATCAAAGCCTTCAATTATTTTTTATGATTAGTTTGTATATAATTATTTTAAAAGAAGGAAGGATGGACATATTGGAAGACTCTACTTCGGTGAAAATATATTTACACATACTATTAAAAAAGGTTGGAACCCTACTTAGGGGTAAAAAAAATATAAAAAAACGCAAATTAAAATATAAATCGCGCATTTTCCATCATATGTTTATTTTACACGCAATGATTTTATATAGAAAGAAAGGTTTTAACAAAAAACGCAAATTTGTCATCGTTATCGAACTATCAAAACGATGTCAATCTGATAATTTTTTGACGCAGTTTGTTATTTCATGTTGGATAGATAAGGCTGCGCGTAATTCGCGTAAAATATCGGGATTTTTTAGTTTCTGGACAAAAATTTGTCGATTTCCTAAAAAGAGAATCTTCGTTCGATATTTTCGTTGTAATTTTTCCACCGGGAATGCAGTTTTTAACGAAGAAACGCAATTTTTCAAAGCACAAAAAACTCTGTGACATTTGATGTCAATGAGTTTGATGTCATGCGTGAACTAGTTTTTGTGTAAAGTGTTCATGTTCAGTGTTAGTGTTCAGCTTCCCAAACATTTTGAGGCTCATTTGGATTATTAAGAAACGGCAATGAACAGAATAGATATTGGTAAGTGTGATTTTTGGAAAGTTTTATTCCTTATCAGCTTTGAAAAAATTACTCCTGGTTGCACTCTGTTTTCTTCTATCAAAACCCTTACCAACTTCTGTGAAGGATTTGATATTATTTTTTTTATATACAAGCCGAGCCAAAATTAGGTGTAGAAAATTTAGTAGATTCTACGATTATAAATAATGTTAGTATAATAAATTAAATACAGTCCGAAAGTGCTGTGTTAGAAAAATACAGGGTGTTAAAAATTGATTGAAAAAATTGGACTTAATCTTCTTCTTCCAATTAATATAGTCCTGTTATTTCTGCTGTCTTGCCTCAGTTAATCCTGATGTCCAACTTTCATGCCACCTCTTGGGTGGCCGGCCTGGCGGTGTTCTACTTTGTGGTCTTTAGCCCATTTCGCAATTCTATCTTGTTCCATTCCATCTACGTGATCTCTCCATTGCCGTCATCTTGATCTCACCCATCTAACTACATCGTCCAACTTTTGATCCGCATTTTATCCCCTAGTGTTACTCCTTTGATTGTTCTTAGCGTTTTCATTTCGTCGCACCTCATTAGTTGTTTCGTTCTAGATGTTTCGTTGCATACGTAAGAAGTGGCCTCACACAAGTCTTGTAGATTCTCACTTTACTCTCAGTTGACATGAATTTATTGTTCCAGATGATGTCTCGCAAGCTTCCTGAGATTCTCGATGCCTTCATTGTATTTGCCCTCATTTCCTCGATCAGATTCCTGCTGCTAGATACTTGCGCGCCAAAATAGTCAAACTTCATCACTTGCTCTATTGTTTTCTCATCGACTGCCAACTTACAACGGATGGGTTCTTTAGATATCACGATGGATTGTGTTCACTGTAGAGATAGTCATATTATATACTTCTGTCGTTTGTTTAAATCTAAATAGTAACCGTTGCAGGTCATCTTTACTTTCTGATGTTCATGCGGCATGATCTGCATAACACAATATCTTTAAAGGTTTGTGGGCCATTCGGTATCCTACTCCCTCTCGTTTAACATCCTCGATAATCTCGTTCATTATTATATTGAAAAGTGTGGGGCTCACCCTGCCGTATTCCTGTTTTTGTGTTAGTTTCTGATTAACTTGGATTCGCGTTTTGCCGTTGCTATTCAGATCTCTTATTATGCGGATATATCTGTTATCTAGGCTATGGAGGTGTAGAATATTTGCGATGTCTGTTAGCCTTACTGTATCGAATGCTTGTTTCAGGTCAACCATGCCCATAAATACTGGCTTGTATTCAATCCCTTTCTCTGCTAATTGTCTCCAATAAAGATTGCGTCTATGGTGGATCTGTTTTGGCGGAAACCCTGCTGTTCTTCGCATATTCCTAATTTTTGTTCGATTCTTTGGGCCAATATTTTTGTGAAGATTTTAAGAACAGCGCGTAGTAAGGTTATTTCCTTATAGTTCTTTGATTGTTTTTTGTCGTCTTTTAAATATTGGGATTGTTATGCTAGTACGCCATTCGTATGGGATCGTTTCTTCTTGAATTATTTTATTAAAAAGTTTTGTTAATTCTTTAGCAGTATTTTTCCTTCCGTATTTTACCATTTTATCACTGATGCCGTTTTTCCGTTTTTCTGGGGCTTTTCCGTTTTTCAGTTTGCCTATGGTTTTCGTTACTTCCCTATAGTTACTTCTATTTGGGATGTATTTATCGGTTGACTCGTGTCGTGTCGGTTATATTCTGGGACTATCTCGGTTTCCGACTGCTTGTTGTATGTTTCTTGAAAGTATGCGACCCATTCTTCTGAGCTGATATTGTTTACTCGTATCTCCTCATTTACTGATTCTTTCTTATTTCTCAACGTTTTCCACGCGTTCTTTTGCCCTCCATATAAGTCATTATGCATATCCGTTGAGAAGTTCTCCCAGTATTTCCTTCAGAATTAACTTAATCAATATACCTATTCAAAGCGAATAAAGATTCCAATGGACACCATTGTGAACATTCGCTTTAGTGTTCGATTGATTCTACTTTCAAGTTCAATATTTTAATACGGAACTGATCATTTATTTAAACAAATCGAAAAAAGCACGCCCCTGGTATTTAATTTTTTAATCGAAAACGGGACGTAGGACAAACACATGTTAAGAGATATTTTTTCTTCTAAATAAATTGGAGAGTAAAACACAATTTTTGTATGTTGAGAAAAACTTTGGGATATCAATTTCTTCTTTGCAAATAAATATCTGGACACGTGTGCGTATGAATGCTACAGGAAACACGCTGTATTTTCGAAACAAGGCATTTTCGGACTTTCGTTTATCATAAGTAGTTACTAAAAACTATTTTTGATCGTAGAACATTCTGTAAAAGTTTGTAGACCTAATTAAGACTCACCATGTATACCAGGTGTTATTCTAGTACGTAGTCAAACTTCAGGAGGTGGTTCTATGAGCGATTTTAAGAAAAAAATATTATATGTGTGGTTCAGCAAATTATTCTTTTCCAATATGTGTTGAAAACAAACGGGTTTTTAAATGAATTTATCATATTTTTGACGATTTTGTTGACGATAAATTCGGTAGTGGTATTTATACAACAATAGGAGGCTAATTTTGCCCAAAACTGATTAAAATTATTGCCTTTTGGAGGACAGCCTTTTTGTCAAAAAAATATTCGCCGCTCATAGCAATTCAATTTTACAATTTTTTTGGGTTAAGAAACTTTGTATCTTATTAGCGTGAATAAAGGAATTTGAATTTGAATTTGAATTGCAAACTTTCAAAACATCTTTTTTGTCTTTTGACTTTTTAACAAATACTTCAAAAGGAGAAGAAACCATAGTGTTCTATTTGAAATTGTATTTCAGGTACAGTCCAGCAAAAATCGGACGCAGAAAATATTGCCAGATCAAAAAAAATGTTTCTTTTCTTCGTTTGGGAAAATTTTTTCGGATATTTGTATTAAAGTCCAATTAGTTGTACAGGGTGTTTCCTGATAAGTTGACACCTCTCTAGATCGAATATTTAAAAAAATTGTGAAAGTGACCAACACAAAAGTTGTTTAATTTTACTCAATTTTAAATAAAAATATAAAACACGGAAATGTTAAAATTTGACATAAAGTATTTTTTTAATGAAAAACCCTAAGTATACAGGGTTATTCACGCTATACGGCACGGACGTTAGCGGTTATCCCGTTTGTTTTTTGCAAAGTATTATTTGATGAATCGACAGACGCCTATC